AACATGTAGGATATTGAAGCATATTTTATTCTTGATCATCACAAGGCTCCTGTCGGTCGGAGAGGCGAACTAATGCCCCCCGCGAAAAGAGGCGACTGGGCCTGTTCGCCGTCCCGATGGCTGGCCTAGCCCGTATTGACGGTACGCCTCAAACCAGGCTGTATTTCTTCACAGCAGTTTTTATCAATGAATTCAAAGGGTAAATATATAATTGTTATACTAGTCATCTAGCAAGCTACTATGTATTCAGAAACTAAACCTCCAAAACGTACACTGTATCCTGTTGAGGCTACGATGCAGTGCAGGATTCTCGGAACTCGGGAAAGTAACAAGCTGGGGCCCTGCTGTCTCCGGATTAACACCGCCCGCTTAAACCGCCAGACTAAGACCAGCGTCGGGCCTCCGCAATTTGCTGAAATGCGGATGTTGTAACTGGCAAGTAGTACGTAGTAAGGTAGTGTAGCTTTTTGATACTGTGGGAACTATCCGGGGGATTGGTCGCTTTTTTCCTTTTCTTTTCTTTTCTTTTCTTTATTTTTTTCCCTTCTGTGGGTGTCGGAGGTCAACGAAAACGACACACATTCATCATCTGAATCGTTTCCCTTCATCATCTCTCCTTCCTTTCCTCTTTTCTCTCTCTCCCACTCTTCGTCTCCCCCCCGACTCTACCCACGAAGTATTATTATCCTCTTACTTTCCTATACTCGCCGTATCCTCGTGACGAACTCCTCCAATCCCGTCTCTACCCGATTTCTTTCCTTTGTTTCCATTTTCACGTCGCGTTGCCGGTCCGGTGCCCCGATTTCTGTCTGGCATTCCTGCTCCCCCACACTCCGCTTATTCCGTCTGTCGCCCATGTTGAATGGTCCTTACTCGCCTTCCTTGCTTCCAGCTTCGCTTCCTTGCCTGTCGCACTCTACACCTCTCCCACCTTGACTCGTCGACCATAATTCAACTTATCCCTATCCTGGTCGCACATCACTTCCCTACGCCTGGTTGATCTAGTGACCGGTTTTCGTCATATTATTCGCCTTTACCCACAGTGCTGTGCACCGGAAGTTAGGTCCAAGGTAAGTCACAGTCGCCAGTTGACCATTTGAAAATCCAGATCCATGGCTAAGTTCATGCGATTCTTAGTCGGTTATCGACGTATTTCGTCTTCATCCTCAACCGAATCTTGGGCCACTTCGACATCCGCGCGAGAGACCGGGGACTTAACGCGAACGCACAAACGCGAAAGACCCTCGGCTGACAGCAGACGGTGTCTGCCACGCCTTGTCCTACATCACTCGTCCTCTACATTCACTCAACATGCGATCGAGTATAGCCTGCGCTCGGTGCCGACGGAGCAAGATCAAATGCGTCAATGCCGGTATTGACACCACCTGTCGTGCATGCGAGTCGTCCGGTCGAGAATGTGTATATCCCACCCCGGCCATCGGTGTGGGTGGTGGCGCGGCCAAACGAGACATTGCCGCCATGGCCGATGGGGAGGATCGCAACGGCGATTGGGATAGCCCCAAGCGACAACGCTCCCGCAAGGCCGTCGGCGTGTCCTCGTCTGCGGCCAAAGATGCAGCCAAAGCCTCGCTGGAGGTGCTCGACTCGTCCGTGTTGACCGTCAAGGTCTGGGAGGCCGTCTTTGATCTTTTCCAATCGCATTACGCCTTCATCCTGCCCTTTCTTCATCCCGCCTCCTTCCTCGGTCAGATTCGACAGCTCTCCGGGAGCACATCGTCCAGCAATGCCACCAACTCGGAAAACAACAGAGACGCCGCACAAAGTCCTCCTGCCCCCAGAGCCGAACCCAATCCTCTCATTCCTCTCGGAGTCCTCGCGCTCACGGCTCGATTCCACCCTCATCTGGTTGCCTACCATTCGCCCTCCTCCCCCGGCAACCCTTCGAACCCTCTTGTCGCATCCGAATTCTATGCGGCAGCGCTGCGCAGCCGGCTGGCCGGCATCGATGGCGCCAATCTGGCGATCCCCGACCTCACCCGTGTGCAGGCGCTGCTGATGCTCGCACTACACGAATGGGGCATGTGCCGTGGCAAGAGCGCTTGGCTATACGTCGGCATGGCGATCCGGCTGTCGCAGGCCATGGGGCTGCCGTTTGAGCTGGAGAACGAGCTCTGCGCTCGCGAGGGGCCCCGATCGCCAGCCCTCAAAGCCGAGGCAGAGCTCTTTGGCGTGCGCCGTGGTCCGGAACCCAAAGAGCAGACGTCCGACGATGTGATCGCCCAGGAGACAAAGCGGCGGACTTTTTGGGCCTGCTTCATTCTCGACCGCTGCCTCAGCAGCGGCAAATATCGCCCGCGCATGATTCGGGTCAAGGAACTCGGCATTCAGCTGCCCAGCGACAACGCTTTCGCTTTTGGAGAGCGCGTGCGAACGTCGCGTCTGAACGAGCCGTCCGCCCGTCGCCCCCAGAGCTTCGGCTCGCAGGGTATGCAAATTCCCAGCATTCGCCAGAGCATCGGAGGTTTCAGCGATGACAAACTGCCCAACAATGTTCCCCCGGACAACAAGCCGTGGTCTCCGATCTCCCGGCGAAAGGACTCGAGCGAGGATGAGATCGACCGATGGGAGGTTGGGGCGGAGGAGTCGGTGTTGAGCCGGGTGATTCGCATCGTTCGGATCTGGGGGAGTATCGCCAAGTGGTCTTGTGCCGGTGGACGAAGGTATGCATCATCCCCCCTCTCCCCGGGTATCGTTACCCGATACTAACATTGATAGAACGGAACAACTCCCCCCATGGCATATCGACTCTAGATTTTCGAAACTGCGGGCGATGCTAGGCGAGTTCCAGGATGGGCTTTCGCGCAATCTGCAGTACTCACCCCGAAATACCGACACCCACATCATGTACAAGAACAAGCTGGCGTCCTACACTGTCATGCATGTGGTGTATTTTCTCTCCGTCATTGTCCTCCACCGCGCCTACATTCCCTTTCTTCCGGTCCGGTGCAATGAGCCAGTCGGTCCCCTGGATGAGCCACTGTTCCCCGGCGACAGGTCAGGGGCGCCAGATGGATTCTGGAGGGACAGTGCACGTGAGCTGTTCCGGGCTGCCCGACAGATGCTGGACCTCGTGGTAACCTGCCAGGAGCGCGGTGTTCTGGTTGAAAACCCCCTGGTCGGGTTTGCCATCTACAATGCGGCCTTTATCGGCGTCTACGCGGTACACTTTCCACACATGGACCTGGAAGGATCGTTGAGTCTCAGGCCTGGTGCCCCTGAGGGAACGCACGGTCAGGTGCAGACTGGAAAGGCTCTCGACATCTTGCGAGATATGCGGTCTCGCTTGAAGATGGCCAATGGGTGGTTCCGCACGCTGAACCGACTACACAGCTACTTTTCAAAGGTGAAGCGTGACTTCCGACGCCACTCTCGCCTGGACGCCTTCGACCCGCATAGCAACGGAATTCGTCCGGTACGGGAGGGCGGTGCCGGAGGAGGCCTCGAGGAGTTCAAGTTGCTCGAAAAGCTGTTCCTCGACTTTGGCAGCATCGACGACCGGCTCCCCGAGAACGCTGCCGACGATGACGGGGCCGACCGTGCGACCAACGTCAGTGATGCGGGCAGCAACGCGGTCCGCAGTGACCCTGGCGAGACGGCCGACCCTACCCTCGATGGTGCCGGCGGCCGGCGCGAGTCATGGGTCCCCATCAACAGCCCTGGCCTCCCTCTGCCTGGACCGGATGCCGAGCGGCGGCCCAGCCTGCCGTTGCCTCCACGAGCGTTGCAGTCGCAGTCGCCGTATTCGCTTCCGTCGCTGCAGCACCATCCCGACGGTCCTCTCTACGGCACCTCCTCGCCGAGCCTCCCGTCTCTTGCTCCTTCTGCAGGGGCTCCTCCATCACAGTACGGCCAAGTGCCGCCTTCTAATCGTCTCCAGCCATTGAACTCGTGGCTCTCCCGTCAACAAGGCCCTTACTCGCAGTCGCTACCCCCTATCAACCAAGCGACTTCGCATGGCCTGCCACTGCTTCCCCCGCCAGGATCCGTCAACCACCCCGCGGCCTCGCCCCCGGTGACGGTGGACGGATTCGAAGGTGGTGTCTCGAACGCCATGTGGTCCACCAGCCTGGGCGGGGATGATGTCGTCGCATTCCTGGAGGGATGCGACTATGACCAGCTGTCCAGCATGATGCCGTCCGAGGTTGGCATTCCTGCTGGATGGTTGAGCACCGTATGGAGTGAATTTACACGATAGTCCCTGGAATTCTCCTTTTCTTTTTTTTCTCTTATGCTCCTTGGTTGTACTATATTGTACGTCTCATGTACTGTATGATTATGTGTCTTTCTTTTGCGGATGGCGGATCACACTGATGATCTAGCGTATGGACTGCGGGTATGCTTGGGTTTCGGGTAAAAGCCGTGGTATGGCAATTGTGGTATTTCGGCAACTGGCGCTCGGCAACTGGCGCAAGCGAGTTACTTGTGAGTTTTGTCTGGATCTCTTGTGAGCGCGGCGTTGGTCTAGTTTTGGTAGCAGTTTTTCTCGAATGCATTCTACACCTTTCGATGGAGTACTTAATCTACTTGTAGCACTGCACAGTTGACTTTGAAATACTCGTCAATTTCATCTCTGAAATGGTTATCAGTCAGCGCTATTGCAACGACAGACCAAATATCCCTACAACACTAACCATACTTTTTACCCCGGTTGCTATAGCTTCTTATCTTTGAGTGCGGTCATTGCTTACTTCCATCGCCAGCATTTCTTATACAACTGTAATAAAGTATAGGAACTACAGCAGTTGCTGCTGATGACAGCAACAAAGAATAACTCGACAATCAACCTGCTGCATCTATAAAGCTGTCCCTCTACCCTTGATATTGTCGATCAAGCCAAGAGTATGAGAGGCAGCAGCCTGCATCGTCACGTGCTTGTTGCATCTGTCACTGCAGCAGTCATCAACTTAACCTCAGCATTGCCAGTGATCTGTTCACAGTAATATCATCTAGCCACCAGAGCAGCTGAGCCTGATTCCACAATGCAAATCATCTGGCGAGACTCCGACGCCGCCAACCCCTCCTCCATCTACGAGGCCGCCCGCACCCGGGGTGTCTTCAACAAACGACATCCACCCAAATTCCCCCTCGCCATCGCCAAAGCCAGTTCCGACGCGGACGTTGTTGCTGCTGTGCAGTTAGCGATAACCCACAACGCCCGCGTCGCCGTTCGCGCAGGAGGACACTCGTTCCCCGTGTGGAGTCTACAGGATGACGCCGTGCTGATTGATCTGGGCGAATGGAGGGAATGCGTTGTTGACGCACCCAAGGGGATTGCGTCTGTGACGCCGGGTGTCACCAGTCAGGAGATCAATGAGGTGTTGGTGAGCCAGGGGTTGATGTTTCCTGCGGGTCATTGTGGGGATGTTGGGCTCGGGGGGTTCTTGTTGCAGGGGGGTATGGGGTGGAATTGTGGGGTATGTTCTTCATCACTCTGTCTGTAAGATGAGAAGAGATGAGGTGGCTAACGGCGAGAGGTAGAACTGGGGATGGGCGTGTGAGCGGGTTGATGCAGTGGAGGTCGTCACGGCGCAAGCGCAGAGGCTTCTCTGTAATGCGGAGCAGAACTCGGAGCTGTACTGGGCTGCAAGGGGGGCGGGACCTGGTGAGTGAGTTGCTCTAGTGATATGTGTCAGGTCTGACTGGGTAGCCGGTAGCGTTTCCTGGGGTGGTAACGCGGTTTCATCTCCGGGTGCTCCCTTACTATAGTGATGGGGTGCGATCGTCAGGGTATATCTATCCGGCGAGGTTATACCGACCCGTCTTCAACTGGGTGCTTTCGACGGTACCGGATCTCGATCATGATACCGAGATTACTGCGCTCTCGCAGTTCCGAAACGGCGAGCTGTGCTTTTCTATCCTCCTAGTCTGTATGAAAGAGACAGCCGCCCAAGCAGCAGACGCCCTGCAGCCGCTGCACGAGACTAGACCCACCGGCGCGCTGACAGAGTGGTTCTGCCAGGAAGATAGCCTGGCGAACCTATACCGCGAAAAAGCCAAGTCAAACCCCCCGGGTCGCCGGTGGTGCTCCGCCAATACATACCTCGAGGACAAGCACGACGTAGTGAGTATCCTCGAGGAAGGGTTCCTCGCTCTGCCGAGTCCAGACAGCTACGCATTCTGGTGCCCGATCGCACCGACCAGCAAGCGGAAGCTACCAGATATGGCGTTCAGCATGCAGTCGGACCATTATTTTGCGGTGTATGCGGGCTGGAAGGACGAATCAGACGATGGGAGGTGCCAGTCGTGGCTGCAGCTTGTCATGGACAAGATCAAAGCACATGGAATTGGGGCGTATATAGGCGACTCGGATTTCTCTGTGCGACCTGACCGTTACTGGGCGGAGGATAATGAGGACCGGTTGAGGGAGATTCGTCGTCGATGGGATCCAGATACTCGGTTCTGCGGGTTTCCTTGATGGTTGCCAGACAACATACGGAAATCTCAATGTCAGAGTATCGCCATGGCTAACACTGCTTCCCTGGCCCTAAGAATAAATTAGTGACTGAATTAAAGTCTCTTCTTCTGCAGGACAGTATTGATCAAGCATAGAAAGACTTGGAGGCATTCCACCTGATATGAGCTATGGTTGATCACTCAAGGACATGGATCTAAGCTTCAGACATAATGTCAAAAACGCGTTATATATGCTGCCATGTTCTACTACGTCTGCCTATGTGAACATGAATTGCACAGTACGACTATACGCCACTCCACTTAGCAGCGGAAAAGCATTTTGTATTGGCTGGTGGACGATGAATTCAGTCAGGATTGATGATGAATTGGACCAAGACGGATTTTGGACATTAGGACGTTGGCTTATGTCGTGGACAGGCATAGAGATATTTGATGCTTAGAGTAGGAGATATCGTGATTACAGGGTAGTCGTGTTGAAGAATGTATGACAAAATGACATACATGGTCGTTGAATTAGGGTTAACTGTCACGCTAGGCTCAAGATCAGTACTCCAAGAAAAGCCACAGCCCATGGAATATACAAGAACCTCTCATACAGTGATATCCTTGTTCATTGCTTGACCGATACATTTAATTTCATTGGCAGTTAGATCAGGTCATGACATCAACCTCGTATTCCTTCTTGGCTTGAGTCATCCTCGTCCAGTAACTACATATATCACGTATTTCACCCAAACCATCAGAACACAACTCACCATCGCGACATATAATCGTATATACGTAAAATGCCCAAAGTAGCCATCGCAGGAGGCTCCAGCCCAACGCTGGGCGCATCCATTCTCGCCGCCCTCTCCAACACGCACAACTGGACCCCCGTCATCCTCTCCCGGCAGACCAACAACCCCAAACCTTCACCCGCAGGCATCGAAACCCGCTATGTGGACTATACATCCCATACATCTCTCGTCGCCGCACTCAAAGACATCGACACAGTCCTCAGTGTCGTGCTCATCCCCGGCCCGGAATCCATCACATACCAGCTCAACCTGCTCAACGCCGCGATAGAAGCAGGCTGTCGGCGGTTCGCGCCGTCCGAGTTTGCACTCTGCGAGCAGTCCCAGGCGCAGGTTGATCTGCTGCAGCCGAAGAATGTGGTCTGGGAGGCTGTCAGGGGCAAGGTTGAGGAAGGGCTGATCGACGCAGCGCGGTTCCCGTGCGGCATGTTCATGAATTACCTGGGGATTGGGGTTGGAGGCGAACAAGAAAAAGAGGCGCGAGCCGGGTTCGCCGAGGGTGCGTTCCTCGTGCACTTGGATGCCGAGCCGGCGTATGTGGTTGTTCCTGTGAGAGCGGATGGATCGGCACCGTCCCTTACGTTGACCGACATCCGGGACGTGGGGAGATTTGTGGTTGCTGCGCTGGAGCTGGAAGAATGGGGAGGAAGGGAGTTGGGGATGGCAGGTGATACCCTTGGGTTTGAGGAATTGATTAGGCTTTGTGAGAGGTATACAGGCAAGAAGATCGAGGTGCGCCGGGTGACGATACAGCAGCTGGAAGAGAGATTAAAAGAAATTCCTGATGGAGATATGCTCAAGCGGATGGACTGTCAGATAGCCATGGCTTGCGCGAGAGACGGGTCGGTGGTGCCGGGGGTGTTGAATGAGGTGTGCAACGTCCAGCCGGTCAAGGTGGAGGAATTCCTGCGCAAGTACTGGGGATAATAGGATAGCAACCGTCTAAGAGCGTTTTTTCCCCACCTTTTTTGGCGTTTCGATATGCAAGTGTTCGTCTCTTGGATGCAGGTTAATCACCAGCTTTTTGGGCTCTAAACAGCATTTCTGGCAATGAGGGCCTATGCAACGGCAACAATAGTAAGATCCGTCATTCGCCGGTATAGAGAGGAGATAGGTCTCCATTGACGGTCCAAGAAACACATGCTATAAGTGTTTAAGGCTAGTTGTGTCCACAGTTCCAGCACTGTTTAGATTCTACTGGATGGTTATTAATGAACTCTCATGTTGCTCAGTCTTTCTGCCCGTCTTCTGTGGATGGACTTTGTCTTACACCTTGTCCTTGGTGAAGTGTAAATGGTTTCAAATTCTGATTATCATGACCGTCTCTAATAAGACGGCCTGGCACTACCACAAAATTCGACATCAGTGAACAAACCAAGCGTGGGGGAATGTCCACTACCTAGAGATCTCAGTAAACAAGCATTAGCTGCAATGTCATGGTAGTTGAGAATCCGGGGTACACTCACAGGAAAGGCGACGATGACGATGACGATGATGGAAGAAGAAAGGAAGAAACCTGATATAATCAACACAATCGCTGACATTGCTCCTTGCTTGCTTGAGTTAGATGAGATCTCAATATCAGACATTAGTAGATGATGCCAGACTGAGGTCCTGGGGCCAGTCCGGTCCCCACCTATACACGAAGAATTAAGATAATGCTCGGATTATATGATGTCATACTGGAGACCTAATGTTAGGATTAACAGGCAGAGATTCTATCTAAAGCTATTATTGCATTGGTGTACTAGGGAACGCTACGTCTCTATGATAAATACTCTCTAGAACCCGTCATGAAATTCAACAGCTAGGGCATAACTATGGCAATCAGACCGGCGACATCTCAGTCAGATCACTTACACAGAATATACAACGCCAAATGATAAGTAGTAAATCTTGCAAACAATAGATGAGGATAGCAACCAAAAAAAGAGAAGCAAAACGGATCAGAGAGGGGCGAGTACTCCACCCCCTCTCCGAGCCGCCCAGGTCCTGCCCGTCTAAGAATATTCGTAGAGGTAAGAATATTCGTCACCGGGCAACGAGCAGGGCCTGTCTCGAACCCGGACCAGCAGTGCAGTTGGGCTACTGCAGTTTAGCCCACTGAACCACTGGTGCGGGTCGGTTGGCAGTATGATATAATAGGGAGTCATCTGTCGTGAAATCGATGGCCTAAATGGGAAGTGAATGGGCAGATGCCTGGGTGTTAAGGCATCGTTTGTGAGGCAGAGACAGGCAATCGCAACTGCCTTCGTTGCATCCGGTCTTTGGCTTGTAGGAGGCGTGTAGAACTTGTCAACTCCAGCGTTGAACTGAAGATTCGGACCTGGCTAACGAGGTAGGTATCCAATTGACGATATCTTGAGATGCCTTACCTAAGACTTTCCTCTGTAGATACATGCCTTTTGTTCCTGTTCTATTCCAGGTCAGACGGATATAGAGCTTTCTTCTCATCTGACTAACAACGACGAATCTACCACCGATCTCCTACTCCTTAACATAATGGACACACCAACTCCGTCGAACGACCAGCACTCACTACTACTATCAATCATATGGGTTATAACGATGGCACTCATCTATCTGGCTATCCGTCGCCGGTTTGAGGCGTACTTGAGTCCAAGGGCAAGGGAATCTCTCGACCATGCTACACTCATCGCGACTGTCTTGAGCGAGGTTGGAAAATTGGAGAAGAGGTTAGACAAGGTGGAAGGAGGCCTTCTGGAACTCGGACCACTTGTTATGCAGGCTCACGATAATATGCTGAGATCTCCAGAGATAAGCGAGATGTCTCGATGTGAGTAGATGCTGGAGCTCAGACGTAAAACCATCCACGCTCATGATACGGTGCTTTCGATGTCTCCAAAGATAAGGGAGCTGCATGCGGTTCAATGTACTCTGACGCCGGAGCGACGCCAGATATTCCTTTGTGAAGAAGAGTCGCAGACTGCTGCTGGGGAGTAGGGAGGTCGTTGTCTTCAGGAGCTTGAGGGGTCGGATCGCTACAGGACAACGCAGATGTGGGCTCTAGCTGATGACAACAGAGACTTGCTATGCTGAAAACTTACTTCTCGGTGTGATTCAGTCAACAATGGAATATCGTTGTCTCTGATATTTCTGCATTGATGCCAACTCTGAGCAACTGGGTCTGAACTTGACAAAGCCGTTGGCAGGAACTCCAACAAGCAGCAAGTCTGAAGGACAAGTCTAATCTAAACGCGACACGACATATCACCAAGTCGCAGGTCCTACTTATGCCTTCTCAACTGCTGTTCCAGTCTGCGAAAGATCTAGTACTCTTCCCACGGCCAATAACAGGGAGGCTTCCCCAATGCCGCATCTGCCTGGGGACATGACACCTTGACAGGACCGACATCTGTAATGACCGTAGTCATCAGCTGCCATATAATCATAACAACAGCTTAGACAGGGCAGCTCATTATCAATTGAAGCCACTAGGCGTATGTATTCTGGATTCTTGCCGATACCCTAAACCCTGAACTGCTGGTTCTAATATAAGTGTCTTCATCATGGCGCAGGCAGCCGAATCAGGTAAGCTGAAGGACGTAGAATGATATCTCATCCTTTGTCCGCTCAAACTTTGTATAACACAATTATTGTCGTCTCAGAAGGATTATTAGTGATAAAGTACCTGTGAATGATAGTGTCCTCTCAACCTGAACGATGAAGAGAAAGCTATACAGAATCTTCCGACATGCACCCCAGAATGCACCATCCACTGACGACTAATCGCCCAGCCCTGACCATACGACGACTAATCGACGCAGTGAAAGGGCACACGATCAAGAAATGTATCTTGCTTTATTCAAAAATCTTTTCTCTGCAAAGAAAGAAGCCAAAGACAAACACAGCTGAAATACAACACCACTACCTTACTTCTTGGATGGTTCTGCCTTTCGTCTTCTAGCCACTTGGACATCAGACGCTTGGATATCTCTCCTCCCTCTGAGACAAGAAAAGGGGTAAGATATCGCCAAGATGGTCTATTTTCCCTCTGAGGTCGTCGACATGATCGTGGCCCATGTCGATCCCGAAGACTTCTATACGCTCCTCCAGTGTGCGCTGGTTAATCGTCAGTGGTCCATATCGGCCCTTCGCGCTTTGTACCGGTAGGTGTTCATCGAGACAGGAGATTACCGGCGGTTGCTAACAGGAACAGCTCTGAGGCTCTCTTCCCGGGTGTCCA